GAGAAAGCGTGTGTGTCGTGTATATTATAGTCGAATGTCGCATTGCAGCGACGACGTCGGCGACGGCGACGGCGGCGGTGACGGCGGTGGCGGTGGCGGCGGCGGCACACATGATGAAACCCGCTGCCCTGCCGCATCTGTCGTCGTCCATCCTCGTCCCACTCGCGTCCGACTCCGCTCTTTGCGTTTCTTCACTCGGAACTCGGGACCTCTGTTCCGACAATGTCGATGTAGGCCCTGCTGCGCGACAGACGGCGAACGATGTGCGAAAGGGCCGAGAAAAAGACTGTATGGCGTTATTAGGCGGAAAATTACCGAGCGGCGAAATCAACTTTTAAGGCCCGAATGCTACCAATGTAAGATTAACGTTAATCTCGGTTCACTTTATTCTCTGTCTTTTTCCAATGCTCGTGTCTACCATGTGGTTTAATTTTAATCTCGGTTCAACTAACTCTTCATTTTTTCCTAGTTCTAAAAAAAGATGAAAAGTATGTTGGACTATAAGATTAAAGTTAATCTGCTTTGGTAGAAATAGATATAATTCTAAGAATTTTTAGTTCCACCAATGAAAGATTAACTTTAATCTCGGTTTAACTTACCATTTATCTTTTTCTAATTTATTAATTCTAATTTATTCTTTTCTAATGTTTAGTAAATTGAACTGAGATTAAAGTTAATTTTACATTAGTGAAATCAAACTTAAGAGATGGCTACAGCACTACTAGTTCTTAAATCTAGTTTTGAAAAAGAAAATTATAAATTATTATCCAGATTATCGGAGGTCTTAAAATTTATTATTTATGTAACTAATGCAGATTTAACTGATAATATAGTAGTAAAAAATATAACAACTATAAAATAAAAATTTTTGGGATATTCTGAGCATGCTACTAACTTGCTTTAAATCACCTAATACTTAAAAATTAGAAACTTCGTCGATTGAAATTTCCTTAATCTTATTGCGCATCAATATTATGAAAAACAGAGATTTTTTTCACGTCAATGTTATGCATCCAATCTACAGTATTGGAATTTTCGATCCGAGTTTCCATTGTTTGGAATCGTAATATTGGGAAATAATGACTACTGGTTTCAAGTCGTTAACTCGGAAAAAATTGGCGAACTTGCCTTTACGTCTCTCGCGTGATGGATTCGATTGGAAGCAATAGGCGTGCATTGGTGCGCACAAATTGACTAAATCCATACGCTGATAGAATACAAATGATTCGACTGATACAATGGTGGTACAACTACTAGCGTAATCCATTGTCATTTGACAAAATTTCTACTGGACCGTCCCGACTATCAAACACTCGTAGGCCATGTTTACCTAAATACTCGAGTACTTGGGTAAACGTTTGTGTACGAACAGCTTACACAGTTCACTAATGTGTGCATATCAGTGCATTCAACCGAATTCGCTACAGGCATAGCCAACAGATTTGCTGGTAGATAAAATATCATATGAAGCTAGCCAACTGATAGATTTGTTTAGCTTTCTGCACGCTATCTTCATCATTTTTATTTAACAGAGTCGCTCAGTGTAATTATACATATATTCAGAATATAGAGAATATAATTTCGCAAAATTTTCTAGAGCTAAACAAAGATTTTTTAATGAGCGCGGATATAAATAATAAAAAGTAGTATCCTTTAAGCTTCTAGACGCTCAATATTATTATTGTATAATTATTATTATATAATTATTATTGTATAATTATTATTATATAATTATTATTGTATAATTATTTAGTACAATATCATTGATGCTCTTTTTTATTATAAAAGCTTTAAATCAAAACAAACAAGTTGAATTAATTGGAATACTGATTAAATCTGTTCTAGTAGAAATTTAACCAGAAATTCTAGTATACTTAACCAGAATTATAAATCGATTATTTTTCACCAGAATTCCAGTTAATCCAGTCAAACATTTTTCTTCGTGTAATAATATTGAGTGTCTAAGAACTGCTTAAGTGTAATATTGGCTAATAATTTTTTAATATTTATAGAGAGAAAATTATATTTTTCATAAAAACCTGAATATATCAAAAAAATTCCTGAATATATCGAAAATCTGAATATGATAAAAAGTAATTTTTATGAATTTAGATATTACATTACAGCAATATTAAATCAGCGTCCATTTTTTTATTTTTTTAAAAAGTTTGCTGTTTCAAATTAATTGAAAAATAAAATTTCAATTTATTTACGTAAATAATTCAATTTCCGAACATTTCGAAATATTTAAAAAATAATCGCTATTCTTTTTAATTTCTATTCTGCAAATCACAAGAGAAAGTGCGACAGCTCTTCTATATATAGTACAGAATTGCTAATAGTACTACAGTGTGATACGATGTTTACAGTAGACTTGAACGCGTTATGTTACGTTTCATCAACTGTTACCAAATAACATGACTGTACCGCGATAACTTATCTCGCTAAATTAACGACGCAATGATTCATCTTCATTACCTCGTATATTTAACGAAAATGTACATTCCCTTAGGTAATATAGAATGACTTGAATTGATTCTGACTCACTTCTGAGTCAAAAACTCCGCTTATACTAGAAATCATCCTGCCCTGGAAGTTTGGAAATGGGATTTCTAAACCATAGGTCGGCAAATTACCTCACTAACTCTTACACGAGACTTGCGTGAACCACATTGCACGCGCACTAACACAGATAAGTCCGTTTCACCATCGCTTTACTACAGAACACGGGATATCCATCAACTTGGGGAAAAGATTGGCGCAGGGGAAATCTTCAACTTTAACTAAGAAAGAGAGACGTCCTTCTTCTACCTTTTACCTCTACCGCTACCAGAACACCTGGGCGTAGACCTCCCTGTATCTTTTCATTATTATACGGCGGTTTGCGTAGACACGTTTCTTTTTTTTTGTCGACAAATCGTGCGCCCGAATGCGAGCAGCTCTTTTTCCGCGTACCTGAACCCGCTGCGGCCTATCCTTTCGCGTCAGTCAGGATCGGAACATCGTCCATGCAAACAGGTTTCCCTTTCGGCGGCGCTTGTCTTGCCAGCTTCTTTACTTTCCGCTCCCCGCAGTGTCCCCGAGGACGACGGCGAGCGGATCGCTCGTGATGACTCGACCCACTGACGACGGAGTCGCACTACCACGGTGTTTATGACACTGCGCGGATGATGACACGCGAGAGTACCCACCGAGAGGAAGTTCTTTCTCTCTCTCTCTTTCTCTCCCTCTTCTCTCGTTGGCCTTCTTCTCCTCGCCTCCCACACGCGGAGTTCTCTTGTGGAGAACCTCCGTGGAAGCCGAAGCAGACGGACGGAGAGAAAGAGAGACGTGATACGTCGTGGTTCACACACGCGCGACCCGTTCACCGCCGTGAGATGACACCTGAACAGGCTAACTACGAAAGAGGAAGCGCAGGCAACTTACTACTGCTGTGCCCTGGGCTCGTGGCGAGTAGACTGCCTCGACTGCCCTCCAGCACCTGGAACTCAAGCGCCTGACGCCGCGTTGGTTCGTTCGCCGAGTACAATGCCTCCTATATCGGGTGTCCTTCTTTAA